GTGTTGTGGCCGGTGTGCTTGTGTTAGTCGCGATTCGAGTGTGTATGTGTATATTTTTGTGTTTCGAGTGGTTAGGGGCTGAGCCTAGCCAAAACGAGTTAAAGTTTTTGTTCGATTTTCTTAATAAAGAATTTGATCCTTTTCCGCAATTTTTAATAACAAGGAATAAAAAAGTCATGCAGTGTAGGGAACTTTACTTCCGTCTATCTTTCCGATGGTGAGCCGTTGAAAATTCTAGAAAATGGTATAGTCCGAATCGAAACACTAAATGAAGGCGACTGGAGACTGGATGTGAGGCATGTCCTTAGTCTCAAATGGAATTTCATTTCCATAGGATAATTGGATGAGACATGATACTTGACAGTCACTGAATATAAGATGTGGAAGGTAAACCAAGGGAGCCATGGTGATGGCTCGAGGGATGAATGATGACACTCTCTACATGACGAAAAACACGCAAAATGGAATCAATTCTGTTATCATAAAGAATGATGCAAATTTATGGCATTCTCGTCTCAGATATAGGGAGAAGCAGATGAAAGAGCTTGTTTTAAAGGAGAGATTTTTGGGTCTCTAGTCCGTCGATATTGAAGTATGTGAGAACTATATCTTCCGGAAACAGAGAAAAATGTCATTATTGAAGGGTGGGAGAGACCCTTAGAAAGAAAAAGAAGTTGGTCTATACCATCTTTTGGGGACCGGTTCCTATGTCGTAAATATTACATGACATTCATTGACAATACTGCAAGGAAGGTACGAGTATATTTCCTTGAGTGTAAGTATAATACATTCAAAATCTTTAGGAAGTTGAAATCACTTGTAGATAATGAAACAAGGTTGTGAGTTAGTGACTGCGGTCGGTAACGGTGATGAGTACAAGTTGAATGATTTCAAGAAGTGCTGCACAAAGAATACAATCTGACTGGAAAAGACAACAGCAAAAACATCACAACATAATGGTGTAGCTGAAAGGATAAATCGGGTGTTGAATTAGAAGGCTTGATGTATGGTTTTAAGTGTGTTTTGCCAAACATGTTTTGGGCTGGTGTAATTAACACAGAGGAATTCTTTATCAATAGAAGTCATCAACGCCGTTGAATAATGATATTCCGGAGGAGACGTGGATGGGAAAACTAATAACCCTCTCTACCTTGCATATTTTTTTGTACTGCATATATCAAGGTTGATGCTGATACAATATTAGATGCAAGATTGGTGAAGTGCAAGCTTATTGGTTATGCTGGTGATGAATTTGGATATCAACTTTAGGATGAAACTACTTGCAAGATCATACGTGCTCGATGTGTTAATTTTGACAAGCAGGTGTTGTATAGGAACAAGTCCAGTGCCAACGGTAGAAAAAATCTAGAGACCGTTGAGTTCCAACATGAGACTGCGCAGATACGCTCAAAATAACCGGAGTATGGCTAATGTTGAGGTCAAACCGTCTACTCCCGTTGCAGAGAATATTAAGATCCCGACAGAAGCTGAATGTGGATGGCAACGGGCATTGAATAAAAAAATAACCAATAATCAAATAAAATCTAGTTATATGACTTGGATTAGATGGTTTAAAATTGTAATGTGGTAGAAGATGAAAATGTATATATAGGATAGTTAAATTGATGTCATGAATATAAAGATTTTTGGAGATTAAATGATGTCGGTTAATTTCAATTTTGAAGATTTTACCAATTTAGTTAGATTGGATTGACAAAAGAGGGGGTATATACACCTTATTTGAGACATTGAATTTCTATACTCCATTTCGAAATTTGGTATGATTTTCAACTTTAAAATATACTATATCTTAATTAAGTCAATAAAGACTTTGAGATTTAGTTTTAAAAAATGACAAGTACAAAGAAATTAAATGTGGGCTATAAATTTGCATTTTAAATATGATACATCTTCCATCCCATATAAATGTATTCATTTACTTTTTTTTTTCTTTTGATACATTAGTGTTTTGCATATAGGTAGTACAATACCGGTTTAATATACAAATATTTAATGTGATGTTTTGTAACGTAAAACAATTATGTTCATGACATTGTTGTAATTTTAAAAACTCGTGGGGCAAAATTATTAAAAAAAAAAATGGGAATTTTTTTTTCTTTTTACTCCATTACGTGACCCCTTATCATTGAAAACCATAACTAGATCATGTATTAGATTAGTCCCAATATTTAAAAAATTATTGGAAATGGTCATCGGGCACTGAAGTTTTTGGCATTGCAGCGTCATCAGTGGCGGATTTAGAATTTTGAATTCGGTGGGTCGATAAATTAATTTAATTAAATTAAAATTAAAATAAATAATTATATCAACAAAAACTTACATTAAAAAGAAATACCAAAATTCAAATTAATAATCACTAATACATCAAAATAACTATAAGTATTCACGACGAGATCTTATATTTTGGTATCGTCTATATTAACTTCCATAAACATATCTTTTTAGAAAGTAACGGAACAATCATTCAATAATTAATCTCTAATGCTATTCTGTAATTTGTAATTTATGATAGTTGTCGAAAATAATCTTTCTACTATTGCAATTGCTACAGGAAGAAGTTTCGTAGAAGATGTTTTATTTTATTTTATTTTTTTTGTCTCAACAAATTTTATATAAAGATTATTTAGATTTTTTAAATTCCAAAATATCTCAAACATCAATAATAAAATTATCCAATAATAATTCGAAAACCATTAATTTTGCTTCTGAAACCTCTGTAGGATACAATTTTGCAAGTAGATGTTATCTGTTTTTATTAAAAGAAAAAAATCGATTAAAAAAAAGAAAACAAGATATCAATAATTCATTTGGTGGTCTTGTAGAATATTGCAACCGTCGTTGATTTATAAAATAAAAATAGATTTAGTGATAACTAATATTATTTTATTTTAGTTTTTATAGTGGGTCAATTGACCCACTTGTCTAATACTGCATCCGCCCATAAGCGTCATGACATACCGAAGATTACAACGATGACGGTGGATAGCGTCTTGGGGCCAAACTATATAGATATTTAAAATTAGGATAGATAAAATTTAGAATATACATTTCATAAAGCTATGATGTACAAGTATTTTGAAATACCCTTAATATTTGTTACCGATGCTGTATTTTGGTATGAAAAACTTTAAATATAAATGAACCAGATACCATTTAAACTTAAAAAGCTCCTATTGAATCAAACCAAAAGAAATGAATACGAAATCAAAAAATACAGAAGCGAGGTCGGGATACCACAAAATCTTCAGGAAATGAAAGTCCTAATTGAATCGCTCAAATGTCACTGTGAAACAACTCGAAACTCTCACCTAACACTAAATATTGAACTACCCTATGAATTCTACGGCAACACCTTGCCGGAAACCATCAAACAATCACCGGAAATCTCGAGGGAAGGGAGTCAAGGATACAAGAGGAAACACGATCGCAAAGAAGAGAGAATTCTGGATGGAGTAATACACAATATTATACATATACATATTCAACTCTAATCACAATCCAACAGCTCACATCGAATCCTAGATCCAATGGCTGAAAGTTTATCTCGTAAGAATTGGCCTCTTGGATTGGGCCATAAACTTGGCCAAAGTGTTGGAAAATCGATCTTGTGGCTGCGATAAAAACAAAGTAAAAAAAAAAAAAAGACAGGGCTGGATGATCTTTTTCATTCTCTCGTTCTCTTCCATGAAAATCACCACCTTGATTTACATAATATCCTCTCAATTATTAACTCATCTACCTACCTCGAATATGTAAAATATAAATCAAGGGAAGTCTATCATCTAATTTATTTTCTAAACAAGGAAGAAGTAAATTACGCCCAAGATTAATTCATTAAATTAAATTATATCAAAACTAATTTATTTCCTAACACCCCCTCCTAAACTAGTAATCTTCATCCTTTCACCAATCCGAGATGGCTTCTCAATCTCCAAAAATCTTCTTTTCTCAATGTTTTGGTGAATATGTCAGCCACATGATCTTTGGACTTCACATAATTCAGCAACACTTCTTTGTTGTTAACACATTTTCAGACATAGTAGATTGAATTTTGCAAAGGACTATTCACTCACGGAATATTCACTTGGAAAAATCCATTGTTGTTTTTGGGAGGAATATTTCCTCGAATCTGAATTAGCTAGCACATGTATGACGATGGGTTTTATTCCTTTGCATTTTTCTTCACTAACAGAAAAGTAAATACATACCCTTCATCCTCCTCTTAATCCCACAATTGGATTTTTTTTCTTATTATTTTGGTCGTTTCTCTTGACACATTCTCAATGATGACACAGATCCTAGCATGTCTCATCCTCTTGCAAAAAGCTTCTCTCATTCAATTGTAACATGTGTTATATATTAATATATATATATATATATATTATAATTTGACTGGCATACAATTTTTGAAAATTTTGTTTCAAACTCAATTATAGGATTTCACCTGAACACAAGTTATCTATTATGTACATTTATTTTGCTTGTATTTTTATTTGTATTTTACATCAAATCTTAACTCATAACATAAATAATGAAACAATAACGTACCAAATTACATAACAAAAATAATTGACTTACATTAATAATAAAATGTGTGACTTTTCTTACCATTCTCCTGTGCTAAAAAATTAATATATATATATATATATAGAATAAAAGTAGAAATAATATATCAATAGTCTATAAAAAATTTATGGCACACAACCATGCTAAGTTACATCAATGCTCTTTTCTATGCTAAATTGGCTCCAAAAGCTGTGTTAATATAGAACCTGATATAATCCCGATTTACCATAAACAAAATAAAGCAAGTCTATCATAATATAGATAGAAAGTTGCAATAATTTCAAAAGAGTTCTTGATGTCTAGACAATATAAAACTTATGCATCATAATTGTTAATTGAAAATAATTTTGCATCCTTCTAGCTTCTAATATGATAAATGAGTTCGCAGAATCTTTTATTATAACATCTCCAACTTATCCTCGAATATCATTGCCACGAACAACAGTAACATGGATGGCTAGCTCGTCTTCTCCCTCCACGAGCTCGCAAATGCATCTATCACCTTTCTCTATAAAGTTCAAGTTGCATAGTTTTCTCCATCCTCCTGATATTGCGACCCTTCCATCCTTCCATTTTTTACATTTTGCCACCAATCTCTTTCCCGTTGGATCTATGAAATACGCCTTTTTCGAAAAATCTATATCATGATTATCTTTCACTACATCTTTGGGAACAAACTGAGACAAGAAAATAAAAATGTTATGTATACAATAATATAGAGTATTGAAACAATAATTTAAAGACAATATTGATTTATGTACTAAAATATAGGAAAAGATGAAAATTTCAAAGCAAAACAAAAAATGCAACAATATACGATTATTCACAAACAATGAATAACTAAAGTTCTTACATAAAATAAAATCAAAATGAGATGAAAACCAAAATGAAATTAAAACACAAGAAAAATAAATAGTTTATTCTTTTATCTTCCTCACCAAAAAAAAAAAATCACATTTTTTAATAAAAATATACTTCCTCGTCTCCGATACTCTGCAATATTTTCTTTTTTTTTATAGTTTCAAACTCACTGCAACATTTCTAAATTTAGAAATAATTAATTACATATGTATATATATAAATATACGTTTCACTTTATCGCATGTTTGGGACGGAGGGAATACTATTTATTCTTGCAACAAACAAAAAATCTCATTATTCCTAACACCCGCCCATTTGGATTGACTTAAAAAATAAGAGAAAACCAAAAGTAAATGCAGAAACAAAAGTCAAAATCAGTTCGATTTTGAATTTGGATGAATCATTATAAAAAAATAGCTTTTCATTAAAAAAAAAAAAAAAAAAACTGTTTGGATGTAATAGGATTGAGAGTGCTTTTAAACCGTTAAAATTATTGATTGCTAATATAATTGTATATTTCTATAAAAAATTATATATATTTTTAAATTTTAATTTAAAGAAAATATATAAATTAAAAATAAAATTACAATATAATAGGAGTATTAAATTATTCGTATTTTCCAATTTATTTTTAAATTTTATAACTTATATTTAATAATTTTAGTATAAGTAAAAGAATTATATACTTCTATTTAAATTTAGTATCTTTAAATTTAAATTCAAGTATAATATATAAATTAATAATTTTTAATAGTATTGTATTTCTTACTATTATTATTATTATTAAGAATAGAACATTAATTTTAGTTGAAAAATGTTTCAAGCTACACTAAATGTGCTTCTGAAAAAAACACTTTTCAGCTTCAAAAGTTGTTTTCTTTTGAACAAAAGTCAATGCAGGTATAAAGTGTTTCTTTTAGAAGCAGAAGCCAAAAGCAGCCGCCGGAAGTCAATCCAAACATGGCTTAAAACAACACAACCAAATCACTTTAAATATATCAAACAAAGTGCCTATAAACTACAAAAGTATTTTCTTACAACCTAAAGCTCCTTCTATATTGCTATAAACCATTGTATGTATCAAAACACAACAATTGAAAATATTGCAGCCAACTAAATATTGAAGAACTTATTAAGTAAATACTTAGATAAGAAATTGTTTCGAATATCAAATCTTACCAAATTGCCCTTCCGTTTATCCATTATTCCGGTGACAAAGTAAGGGTTTTGAGGTTGTGAAGCTAGACCAGACCTGAAAATGTCTATCCCGTAGCGCAGTGAAATCAGGTCCGTGGATCTTCTTTGTGAATCTTGCTGATCTCTTGTTCTTACTGTTCTTTCTAAAGTCTCATCTATGAAATAAACCAGCATTAACCATGAAATTGTCATTTCATTATATCGAACATGTATTCCAAAACATAATGTAAATACAATATATGCGTCATATTGTTAATTACATGTCTTGAAGAAATTGATAAATTTCGTCATAATGAGGTCTATCCAATTGGAAAAACAATAAATAAAAACAAAACAAAAATTGTGAAAAAAAAAAATTATTTAGTAAATTATATTCTAAGAGACGGTTTAAAAAGCAAAATCAAATTAAATATCCAATCAACTATTTGTAGTTATAATTAAGAAGAAATGTTTTAAAATATCCATGCTTATTATGATGGATTGATTACGTACTATTATTCAATCGCTAATTATTTCAAAAAAAAAAAAGAGTATTGAACGTACCCATGTTTTGAACATTAGCATCTTCAATTGCTTCAAGAATTTCTTCGGTCATTTCAACACTATCAACAGGCAGAGATTCATCAGTCACTTCAACATCATTGCTAGGCTCATATTCATTGCTTTCTTCATCGACTTCAATATCTTCTTCAATCATTTCACCACTACCTTCGGGCACGTGTCCCTCGGCCACTTCATTGACTTCCTGACCTTCTTCAGTCACTTGAACATTATCTTCCGGCACACAAACATCCTTCTTGGTTTGCTCGTGAACTTTTGCTGCGTCATCTTCATCATAAAAATAATGATCCCATTTTCCGTAATAATCCCCTTCTTCATCAATATTTTTCGAACATCTTACCTTTCTTTTACTGTTACATTCATCAGCAGTCTTATTGTCCTTATCAGTAATCTCCCATGAATCTTTTTCTATAACCTTTTCTATCCCATAAGGGTCAAATACTTTCACATCGAAAAACCCTAGAATAAAATATTCAAACAACAAAAAGTCTCCCTCCTCAATCTTCATGTCCTTCACAAATTGACTCCATCCTTTCGCCAAACACCACTTATTCTCGTCGTTTTGCACAGATGCAAACCATGGCATGTTGTAGTGACCAAGTAGATATACTGCCTTCGGCAATGGTTGATCCAACTGTGTTATAAATTCATTTGGAATGCTCTGTTGCAAGATATATGTTCCATGTTAGAGTTTGCAATATTAATATCTATCTATTTTAAGATTTTTTTTCTCATTATTATTATGCATTCTTCACTATTCTTTGTAAAACACATTGTTCATCCCACAAAACATCACATCTAACTCATTGTTAAATAAATAAATAAAAATAAAAATTCCACTATTCAAGATATTCTTGACAAATATATAGTTTATATAATGTAAGTATTTTGTAAAATGATTTTTAGTATAATATATAAAAAAAACATGAAAAATAGGAGTATTCCAATTCAAAATTTTTACTATTCAAATCCCAACTCAAAATCCAAACCCCCAAACTCTTAATCGTTGCTTTCTGAACTTTTGAATTGATGTTATTTGAAAAATTCAATATCATGCTAATTTTCCCAAATTAGCATCATAACCGAACCGGAGAGATGTATAGGCGAACAATAAAGGTTTCGTGGATCATTTTGCCAAAACTATATTCGGAAATTTAAAATCAAGACTTACATTCGCTTATAAAGAAAATTATCTTAAATATCCTTGCAATTTAAATAAAGTCAAAAAAAAGAAAGCATAACCCATTCAATTGAAAAAAAAAAAGGGAACGAGATGGGAAAATAAATAAATAAATAAAGGGGATAATTGTCATTTTATAAACTAAAAATAAAGAGGGTATTAAATGATGTGCCATAAAAAAAAAAAAAAAAAAAAAAAATTAAATTAAATTAAATTAAATATTAAGTTTTATTATGAAAATAAACATGAAATCACATCAACTTCGTATAAGTTTTTAAAAAAACAGCAAATAAGACATTGAAAAACAAGAATCAAGCTAACAAATGCTGAAATTCCTCTCTCATTCTAAATATATTTAGAGGTATAAGTTGAATCTCAAATTCATAGATCTAAAGGTTGCTAACAACAAAAAATACAAAATTGATGTCGAAAACAATGAACAAGAAATCACACTCCCTTGTGCGAGTTTTGAAAAGATCCCAAATAATACATCAAGGAAACAAGAAAGTATATCTTCACCAACCAAACCAATTCCAAAACCCAAACTTCAATCGAGATATCTCTAGATATGTAGGTTGAATCATAGATTCATAGATCTCAAGCTTGTTTGCGATAGAAGAATAAAATTGAATGAAATAAAATGAAAAATAAACATACCTGTTTGCTATTGCTGATTTTCTTAAAATAAAACGTGAAAAAGGCAGGGCACTTCATTTTGATTGACATAACCCGAGTTTTGTTAGATCCACAAGAAGAACAGTAAAGAACGTCAAAAACTTGCAAGTAAATTGAAAGAAATTTAAATCTCCCTAGACCAAAGGAGATTAAAATTTGTAAGATATCAAAGAGAATATACTATAGATCTCCTTTCTCCAAGTGTGAACATAGTGTGTATATATTAAAACAGAAAACTGCTATCTTTATAGAGAGGGAAAAAATACTTTTAATCGATGAGATCGATGTTATTTTTTAAGGTAAAAAATATTTATTACAAAAAGTCTGGCATTTTAGTTGAAAAGTAAATGCATTTCAGTCCAACAATAGATATTCAATGAATAATTCAAATAAAGTGAAGTTTTGAACTATATTTTAAAAAAATACTAGATAACAGTTATTATTTAACAATAGATAATTATTATCGTGTATAAATATATATAATAAACCATGGAAGTGGCTAGCTGATGTGTCATTTTTTCTAATTTTCTAATTTTTTACAAAAAATATTTATGATTTTTGAAAAATAATAGTAGTATTTCAATACGAGATAATAAATTAATTAACAATATATAATATAATAAAACATCAACAATTGACTAGAATGATGTTTTTGCCGAATGGATGATATGCTACATGACTGTAAAATATTATAAAATAATGACTTTCTTATGAGACGGAAATTGCACTTATTTTATGCACTCCTATACCTTCAAATATTTATAAGTGAATTTCATGCATTTCCCTAATTCTAAAAGAGTAAAATCCTTGCCTCTAAGTAAAATTTCGTTTATGATGTAATTTGAAATTAGTATTGCCTCACACCATAAGTTTTTGGGTAATTCTTAACTAATCAACAAAGCAATATTAATTTTTTAACTGTTCGATTTTTTATTGCGGAAATTCCATTCACTCGAGATGACGGAGAAGCCGTTGTCTGATGAATTGCCCCACTTTTGTTACATAATTCCTCAAACAACGAACATACTCACCATCTATGTCACTTCAAACGTTTTTAATTTTACAAACCTAGTTGATTTTCACCTCACTTTTGAAGTTTTTTTCCAAAAAAATATTTAATCGCCTTTGTTGATAAATGCACAAAGTACTTCTATCTTTATATATTAAGGCAAAAAGGTTAAACAATTGATACAAATGTTTTAAGTCACACATGGATTAATTCAAATAATTTAGTTGTTCTTTCGATTGAAGAAATTGGTAACTAAATAATTTTTACTTCCACAAAAACTTCACATTTTCTCCGAGTGTTCACTTCCTCAAGATTTAGTATATCCATATTTACTAATCTTTGTTATTCATAATAGGTGCTCGGCACACAACAATTACATCTTGCTTGAATATGTCATTATTAATATAACCTCTAGCCAAAACCATACTCCCTCCGTCTCATAACAAAGTATCTATTTTTCCATTTTAGTCCGTCACATAACAAAAGTATCCATTTCCTTTTTGTACTATCTACTTAACATTACATATACCCTTACAACTTACAATATATTACACAAATACCATTACCTTTATATCACAATACTAACAAGGTTAATTTAGTTATTTCTATTTTATTCCTACTATATTCCAATATAATACTAATATTTCTAAAACTACGTGCAAAAACAAATGGATACTTCTTTTTGGGATGGAGGGAGTATTATTTTTCCGATAAAATAAATTTATCAGCTACAAAGGCTAGTATAAAGTCATGTATATGATATTTTTTTCGGATTTCTAGAATATGCAGAACATCCTTTAATGTCAGCTCTTTTTCGAAGGTCATCTTTAGCACCACGTTGCTCACACCTTTGACCTAAAAAGTCGCATGGTTTGTTGTATGTAACTTTCTTCTTTCGGTCTCACTATACGTCGAGAAACTTGCCTTGTTGGAACAAATATGACATGTAGCTCCACTATCAATGAACAATGCATTTGGACTCTCAGCATGATTAGTCTAGTACATGACAGTAACAAAATCATTATTTATAAGGTCACAATCAATTATGTGATACATCTTGATAAAGTGAGAACTGTGATTTGTCTTTTTTTTCTTAGACAACATTCACTTCTTCCCTAGGTGTTCTGTTTTCCCATTATCCATCAGCCAATCGAAAGTAAATATTTTAGATCTGGCATACCAGGACTTAAACTTGTTTGGCAATGGCACAACATAGCCTGTTGACAAGGTTAATTTAATACTTTGCATTATATATAATAATAGATGTATTACTTGAGCAGAGAAGGACGATTTGTCTCAAGGAAGTGACTTGATCATGATGTCGGTCACTTGTTCATGTGAAAGGAAACACTTTAAAGTTATTAAATTCATTGACACAAAATCTCGAATAAAATGTATGTGATGTTATGTATTCAGCTTTACACGTTGAAAGTGTTGTCGGATGCATGGCTATACCATAATCAAGCTTCTGAATTGTTACAAATCAAGGAAAGAGGGAGCATTATGAAAGGAGTAATGCACAACATAAGACATAAATATATACAACCCTAATCATGATCCGATGGCTCACTTCCAATATCTAGATGCAACGGTTGAGATTTGATCTCGATAAATAATAGATTTCTTAGATTGGGCCATAATCTAGGGTAAAGTGTTAAAATTGGATTGAAAAATATATGGGCCACTCATAATATTTAAAAAATATATATATTAATTTGAAATATATATATATTATTTCTCCTTGAGTTTTTCTTTTTTATTATACAATCTCATTAGTATAAATACAAATATACTCATTCTACTTACAGAAGAGTGGTGAGCAAAAAATTCAAACCCACTCACCAAACTGAACCAAATCAATCTTTCAATTAACTGAGAAAATTTTGATTTGTATTACAAATTATGTATTTGATATTTATCCAGTTTGGTTTTATTTTTTGATAATTTTTCTATTAATTACCGAACCAAGCGGAACCAAATATCTTTACACTATAAAAAAATGTATATTTGTAACGGAATTCCGTTCTTAAAATTCACGTAGCTAACATAATTGCATCACTAATTCCGTCTCTAATATCATTAGTAACGAAAAAAGTGGATTTAAGAACAAAAAAATCTCGTTACAAAATTGATATTTTTTTAGTGTTATATTATTATTTTTTAAAATTTATATTAATACTCCTTCGGTCAATCAAATGTATACTAATTTAGGTTGAATACATATTTTAATGAACATAGTATTATATTGACTTAGTGTGATATAATATAAAGATATTTTAGAAAGAATACGAGTGAACTAATAAAGTAAGCAAATTTTGATAAAATGAGTGTGTAAATAGTTGTATATTTGTAAATAGGTGTACTGTATAAATTAAAGAATGCGTAAGAAATATTTGTTATGAATAGAAAATCGATATTTCTTTTTGTACAAACAATAAAGAAAACCAAGCATAAATTCGGTGAAGATAGGGAGTAAATATATTTGATTTGGTTCAGTTTGGAATATTTGCAAATGTTTTTAGTTAATTAAAATTGTATTATTTTGCAATGTATTTATTTTTAGATTCGGTTTGAATTATATGTAAATTTTTCAAATATTTTCGGTTAGAATACGGTTTATAGTTTCGAGTATTGTTTGATTGGTTCAGTTCGAATATCAAATACTTACATATTTGCAAATAATCGAACTATGTTCACCCATACAAAATACCGTATTAAATAA